AGAGGAGAGGGTTTGGGGGGGCCAAAAGAAATAGCTGGAGCAAAAGCATTTAGACATATACCATTTCATAGGGCTTTAGAGCCCCCTCTAAGCGCCATTTCCTCCCCCACAACAATCTGGGTCCTCATTTTACCGACCTCAGAAGGATGGAAGGCTGAGTCAACCTTGAGCCAGTCAGGATCAAACTCCTGGCAGTGAACAGAGTTTGCCTGCATTCTAACTACCACAGCTCTTGTGGATGGCATTATTGATCAGGTAATAGAAGTACCATCCTTGCAGCAAATGAAAAAAAGAAAAGCATTTACAAGCGTATTTAGATAGACCTCAATTAACAGCCATCCGCTTTAAGAACCATTCAAAATTATGAAAGCACTGAGGAAAGGTGATTTAGGACTGGTCCTTGCACTTAGGACCATGACAGTGTCCCACAGTCATGTGATCAATTTTGGGCACTTGGCGACCAGCTTATATTTATGTTGGCTCCAGCATCTCAGGGTCACGCGATCACCCACTGCAGCTTTCCCAGCCAGCTTCCAACAAGCAACATCAATAGGGAAAACCAGATTCACTTAACAACTGGCTTAAGAACTGCAACAAAAAAGGTCATAAAATCGGGTACAAGTCAATTAATAAGTGCACTGCTTAGCAAGGGAAATTCCAGTCCAAATTGTAACAGAATAAAAGAGTTGGAAGGGACCTCAGAGGTCTTCTAGTCCAACCCACTGCTCAAGCAGGAGACCCTATACCATTTCAGACAAATGGTTGTCCAATCTCTTCTTAAAAGCCTCCAGCGATGGAGCACCCACAACTTCTGGAGGCAAGTCGTTCCGTTGGTTAATTTTTCTTACTGTCAGGAAATTTCTCCTTAGTTCCAGGTTGCTTCTCTCCTTGATTAGTTTCCATCCATTGCTTCTTTTTTTTTTAGCTTTGTAAAAAAAATTATTTTATTTTAATGTAAACAATCCATCCTCCATTAAACAGTGTGTCGTCTGGTACAAATACTTTGTGTAGTAACAGTTAAAGTTTACACCCATATTCATTATTTGATCTATTCTTAGCTTAATACCATTAAATATCTAATACTATGACAATCCTCTTCTTAATTTATTTAACTCTATTAACTCTTATTAATGGATTTTCTATATTTCGCTCATCTATTTTTATTTCTAATTTTTATATTTATTCTCTAACCATCGATCAAATAACTCCCATATAGTATAATATTCGGTTTGTTCTTTCTCTTTAATTGCCAATGTTAACCTATTCACTTCTGCATTCCATTGCTTCTTGTCCTGCCTTCAGGTGCTTCGGAGAATAAGTTGATCCCCTCTTCTTTGTGGCAGCTTCTCAAATATTGGAAGACTGCTATCCTGTCACCCAGGTCCTTCTTTCATCAAACTAAACATACCTATTTCCTGCAACTGTTCTTCATATGTTTTAGCTTCCAGCTGTACCTCCGAGGCCAAAGACAGGTGCATTGGAGAAAACATGTCAATAGGAGCTCAAGGGTTTCCACTGCTTCCTTCCCCAGCCCTCAAGGTGGCAAACAAATGCAAAGCATTTCTTGTTGGGGAAACAAGAATAGGACAGCCTGGAAACAGTATCTGAGCTTTGATTGGGTTAAGCTCAGTGGCCCGTTGGAGGCCAGGGCACCAAGGAATGTGTGAAAGGGCTTCACCCACCAAGAAGGTCATCTCTTCCCTTATTCTTGACCTGAAAACTCTTCCATCGCCCATTATAAAAAAAAAAAGATGGGGAAAGAAGATGGGGAAGCATCAAGACTTACTGCTTTCATTGTCCTGCTCTCAGCTTGTTCTCAGGATTTATTTTAGGGCAATTTTGTTTAGGAAAGATCAGAGATCCCACCAGACGCAGGAATGGGGCCATCTGCAACCAACCGCAAGCAGTCAGTAACAGGCACCCAAAACACTAGAAACATCAGTACAGAAAGTCCTTGATTTACAACAGTTGGTTAAGTGACCATTCAAAGTTACAACAGCACTGAAAAAAGTTGTTTATGACAGTTTTTCACACTTATGACTTTTGCAGCATCCCCATGGCCACATGATCAAAATCCAGACACTTGGCAACTGACTCATATTTATGACGGTTGTTGTGTCCTGGGGTCACGTGATCAACTTTTGTAACTTTCTGACAAGCAAAGATAAAAGGGAAGCCAGATTCACTTAACAACCTTGTTACTAACAGCTGCAGTGATTCACGTAACATCTAAGTCAAGAAAGACTGTAATGTTATAACTTTGAACAGTCACTAAATGAACTGTTGTAAGTCGAGGACTACCTGTACTAAAAAACAGGTGTGTATATTGGAAAGGAAGAAAGGAAGCTTCCAAGATATTTTGAGGGTTTACTTGAAAATTTAAAACCTAGCACAGGGAATTCCCTTGATTTCAAATGTTTATAGGACACGAACTCAATGTGTGTGGGGGAATTCCCCTGTCAAGGGAAAAAAACACAGTGAAATGAAATGTGTTTCATATAAACAATAAAGCTGTCTAATTTATGGCCTATGGAAGAAATATGCGGCGGTCCTACGATAAGACAATGAAACTGTCTTGGAGCAATTTTACAGGTAGATCTCTTGGAGCAATTCACTCCAAACCTATATCCTCAGGTCCCATTTGGATCTTTTTCAAAATATTGGTGCAGCTCCAAATCTTTACTTGTATGCGTGCAATTTCCCTTTAAAGGAGGAGCAGAAACTAAAATACTTTGGCTTCTACAGCTCCCAGGTTTGACTCCAAACAACTAGACTACAATTCCCATTAGCTCCAAACAGTTTAAAAAACTGGAAGTCTTAGACAATTCATTCAATGCACTACAAGGCAAAACACACCAGGATGCAACCGTGAAGGTAAAACACAACTATTTACTGCAGTATCCTCTGAACTCAATTAAAAAAAAAATCTTGGAACCATCACACTTTTGTATACATTTATACTATAAATGTATATTATATTGCCGTGATGGCGAACCTATGGCACGCATGCCACAGGTGGCAGGCGTAGCCATATCGGTGAGCACGTGAGCTCAGCTCTGGCGCACATGCGTGCGCTGGCCAACTGATTTTCAGGCCTTCTGGTCCCAGCGGAAGTTGGCAAACTGGCCATTTTCGCCCTCCCCAGACTCCTAGAAAGGCTCTGGAGCCTGGGGAGAGAGAAAAACGGGCCTACTGGGCCATCGCGTGCCAGGAGTGTGGGGAGCGTGGGGGGGGGTCATGCACGCATGTGCGGGTCAGGGCACATAGAATTATGGGTGTGGACACACACACGCGTGATCCCCCCGTGCTCTCCCCGCTCCTGGCACGTGATGGCAAAAAGGTTAGCCATCACTGCTATATTGTATTACTATAAATGTATATCACCCATGTTATATCAATGCTATGCTTTGGGTGGATGTGTTTAGTATAACAATAGTAGCTACAAGCTTTATTTTTCCCCCTATTCCGGTCATTCTATAACAACGTACGGCATGTCTCTTAAGAGTATTTTCTTTCAAATCAAGGTTGCATATGATTTCATTGTCGTTGCATACCGGGAATGCAGAATGCCTGTTTTTAGAGGCATTCTAAGACAACATCAAGGCCCAGATGTAGAATTTGCTTTCCCTTGTGGTCGGGTTAGTTTGAACTAGCTTTGCTCAAACAAGCAAATTATTTTGATGTTTTCACAAAAAGTTGTAACTACTCTGTTACTGATGCTATTTCTGACACTGATGCTGATTCTGATTTGGTCCGTGGACTAAAATCACAAGAAACCAGAGCAATTTAAGTCTCAAGGCCCAACACGGTTAGCTTCTAATTCATAATTCATGAATAAAGGAGAATATTTGTAGCTCAGGGTTGGAATGAGGAATCCTTGGTGCTCTCTAAACTTAGTTGTTTTCTTTTCCAGATGTTTCATTACTAGCACTGATGCTGTTACCTAGTTTGGGTAACGAAACATTTGCAAGAAAACAACCAAGCTTGGAGAGCACCAAGGATTCCTCATAAGTCACTGCTTGGATTAGCGGACCGTTTACTACAATCTAGAAAACAATTAAAGGAGGTTTTTTTCTGCTATCTATTTTTAAGACAGGTTCTCCATCCACACTGCCGTGGGCTTCAGCCAACAAGTCATATAAGGAAACAGGCAGAGATCATTTTCACATAGTTCTAAGTAGAAATTATATTTCCCCAATGGTCCTTTTCAAAATCATTGACCAAAACCATTCAGCATAGTTTGGGCCACTGTGAGAAGCCAAGAGGGAATCCTGGAGACAGTCGGACCCAACTGACATCTACCAGATGGCCAGAACCACCCCAAGTCAAGACCACCTCACAGGATGATGGGGACCAGATGGGAGACTGAGCCTCAGGGTGGGAGTGATTGTTTCTTGACAGTCCCCTCCTAGTCAACCACACTGGATCTCCCCCAGCCTTTGAACTGAGGCTGAAGCCCACCCGATATGGGGCTAGGCCCCTGTAACCCGACAGAGCCTTTCCTGAAGTCACCCAGCGGTGGGAAAGATGAACCTCGGGAGGCGGAAAGCAGCCGCGTTGGATCGCTTTAGGCACCAGCCCAGCCGGGACGGAGCAAGGCGGCTTTTTCTCGAGGCCGCCTGGCCTTAGTCCTACTGGTCTCGCCTGGCCCGGACAAGGACCACAGACGCTCGGCTTTAGTCCGGCGCAGCGGCTGATCCGCGGGGCGCCTTTCCACCCGGACGGGACGGAGCGCCATCCGCCAACCGGGCAGGAAACCAGCGACGCCGCGCCTTGGCGCTGCCCGTCTGAAGGAGCCGGGAAGGAGGGCGCCCGCCGGCATACCGGAGCCGGGACTCTTCCTCGCGGGGAGAAGAGCGCGAGGGGCGCTTGCTCTCCCGGGGCCGCGAAGGGGTGCGATTTCAGGGGGGCTTCGAGGCCGGACCCCTCCCCGCCCGGGCCAAGAGCGGCCGGAGAGGCCGGAGGGTCCCAGCCCGACGGGGCGGCGCCAAGAGCCTCACCTGTGCGGAACTCCAGCGTGTGGTCCTGCTCGGCGCCGCCGCTCTCCTCCAGCAGCAGGACGTAGAGCATCCCGAAGGAGTTGTGGATGCCGAAGATGGAGCCGTGGCACCAAGTGGCGGCCAGCACCACCACCCAGCCGAAGCCGCCGTCGGGGCGTGAAGTCGGGCGCAGCCGCGGACCCCGCTCGCCTCTCGCGGGCCCCCGAGGCTCCCCGGCCGCCGCCGCCGCCGCCTCCCTCCTCCTCCTCCTCGGCCGGCTCCTCCGCCTCCAGGGCGCCCTTCTCCTCCGACAGCGCCTGCTCCTGCCGCCTCAGCGCCATCGCGCGCGCCCCCGACGCCGCTCCGGGCCGGCTGAGGTGCGCGAGCGGGCGGGCCGAGCCGAGCCGGGTCTGGGCCGCTGCTGAGGCTGCCGCTGGGCTGCTCCGCCGCCGCTGCTGGCTGAGCTGAGCTGCGGCGGCCGAGCCGGTCCCCACGCCTCCTGGCTGCCCGGCTGCGCTCCGCCCCCGGCCGCCCTCCGCGCCGCGCCGGAGCCTCCCCCGCGCCGCCCGGCCCGCCTCCCGAGCCCGGCCTCGCCGCCGGAGGCCGCCTCGGCCCTCTGGCGCCCGGCGCGGCCCTCGGGCTAGCGAGCAGGAGCGGCTCCCTCCCGGCGCGCAGGGCTCCCGGCCTCGGAGGCGGCGGCGATGCCGCACGTGTCGGCGGAGAAGAGGCGCCTTCCGCGCGGACGCCTCGGCCGGCGGGGCTCCGGCTGTCAGCCTCGCGCGGTGGGCCAGGCGGGGAGGCTCGCGGGAGGGAAGGGCTGCGCGATGTGGAAACGGGGCTCCGGAGCCTGGCGGCGCGGGCAGGTCCAGGTGGGCGGCTGGAAGAGGCCAGAGGCGGCCGTGGGCTCTGTGGGAACCCCCCCCCTCTTGGTCGCCCGGGTGCGGCGGAGTCTCCCGCGTCTTTTAGAGGCGCCTCGCAAGGCTGGCCGGGTGGGGGCTCCTCCACAGGCGGGGAGCGAGCGGGAGGGGCTGGGAGCCTTTCTCTGCCCCTCCCCCCGTTGGCCTTTAGCGGGGCCCGAAGCGATTGAACCACCCCCGCCCCCCCCGCTGCCCCTTCTGGCTGCTCTCGCCTCAGCCCAGCGCCTTCAAGGTGAGCAGCGTCATTGCGCCAGAGGGGCCGAGGGAGAGGGAGAAGGAGAGGGAGAGGCGGGTCCGCGAGCCCCCGGCTGCTTTCGTCGAGACGCCGGGACGAGGCGGCTCCCGGGGCTCCAGGTCGGCGGGCAGGAGCGAGCGGGGCTGGGGCTCCGGCCACGCGAGAGGGCGGGGTGGTGGTGGTGGAGGTGGAGGGCGGCTCCGGCCGGGCGCAGCGACAGCCCGGCTCCAAGAGGCGCGTCTGCTCCGCGCAGCTTCCGAGGCCCCGGCGGTGCCGTCGCTTGGCTGTCCGCCAGCCTCGGTCCTGCCAAGCGGAGGAGCCGCTTTTGCCCGGCGGGCGGCTCTGAGCCTCTTTCCTCCCCCGGGGAATTGTGCGCAGCTGCTCCGACGACCTTGGCACGAGCTGCGGGAGAGGATTTGGAAGGCAGCCCCTCGCTCTCTCCCGTTGCTGCGGGTTCTTTGCCCTCCTTCCTTTCCCCTAGGCTGGAAAGAAGGACAAGCGCGCGGCTTTATTACCTGTTGCTCTTGCTGAACGAGGGAAGCCTTTTGAAAGTGAGGCTCCGGAGCTGCAGAAGGCCGCAATTACCTGGCCCATTTCCCCAGCTGGGCCACCTTTGGGTCTCCAGAGCTTATTGGACTACCATCCCCAGCAGCCCCCAAAAGCACCGTAGACGAGTGGGGAATGCTGGGAGTTGCAGTTCATCAGCATCTGGGAAAACTGGGGTCTATTTTGGCCTTTATTTCAGAAATCTTCCTTTCCTTCCTTCCTTCCTTCCAACACTTTTGAGCAAGGAAGGAAGAGTAAACTTCTCTAGCCAGCATTACTATGGCTGAAAATAGGTTTGGAATCTAAATATACGGGATTGGGAAGAGCTGGAATAATCCAATGGCACATTTGTTTTACCACAGATTTGGAGAGGTGTAAACAGCTAAAAGACTGTCCCAATAGGGGTGGAGCCTTTAGGGTAAAGGCGGAGCCTAGCTATACCTACTGTGGTTGGGGCATGCTCAGATAATGAAGCTGATAGGAACTAGGGAACTCCGGGCTCAATGGAAGGCAAGCAGAGATCAAGCCCTCTTTCAAAATCTATCTTTGGGACATAACAAAATCAGATGGTATCTCTTCAGATTTGATTTCAGCTATTTTTGAATGCAGGTAGTCCTCAACTTACAGCCATTCATTGAGTAACCATTCAAGGTTACAACAGCACTGAAAAAAGTGATTTATGACCATTTTTCACACGACCATTGCAGCAAAATTCCGACATTTGTCAACTGACTCACATTGATGATGGTTCCAGTGTCCTGGAGTCGTGATCTCCTTTTGCGACCTTCTGACAAGCAAAGTCAACAGGGAATCCAGGTTCACTTCACAACCATGTTAGAAACTTAACAACTGCAGTGATTCACAACCGCCTCGCTTCTCAACAGAAATTGTGGGCTCAATTGTGATTGTAAGTCGAGCACTACCTGTGAGCTCCTGCTGGCTGGGTTTACAATGCATGCAAAGCCATGATGGAGCCTTTTGATTTGGCTGTGGGAATTGTGTGAGATCTGCTTTCAAGGAAGGGGATGATAACCTGGCAGGATTAATATTAACATGACACCTGCCCCAGTGGTTACGGCGTACAGGTAGTCAACAGTCATTTGTTTAATGACTGTTTGAAGTTACGATGATGCTGAAAAAACTGACAACTGGTCCTCACACTTCTGGCCATTGCAGTCTCCCTGTGTTGATGTGATTGCAATTTAGGCACTTAGCAACCAGTGTATATTTATGACAGTTGCAGCATTCCTGGGTCACCATTTGCAACCTTTCTAACTAGCTTTGAACAAGCAAAGTCAATGGAGAAAAGTCTGGAGAGATTCTCAGTCATCCAGGTCATGGTTGTCCCAAAGGTGCTTTTTCAGGAGGCAACTGGACTGTTTTTTCTTCCCCCAAATTTCTATACAATTTCTATACACCCTTTGAATGGTGTAGGAATAGGAATGGATTTCCAGAGGGAAAATTGCAGACTACAGGAACCAGGAGCACCACTCAGGTGACCCTGAGGACACAGGTAAACCTCCAAGTGCTTCAACGACCCTCCAAACGGATGCAAATGACCAGCTGTCTGCAAGGAATATAGATCCTTCCATTCCCCACTATCCTGTCAGAGCTGAAGAAGCTTCTGGGATGAGAAGCAAAATGTTTTCAAAGAAAAAACAAGAATGTCCAGTTACCAGTTGTCCAGTTGGCATCTTTGGGTCAATGGAGAAAGCTGGATTTGTTTAACAATCATGACCAGATGTTATAAAACAGAGCGTGAGTTGCTTAATGACTGCATTGCTTAGTAAAGGAAGTTCCGGTCTCAATTGATGATGTCAGATAAGGACATTTTGCCTTTCCCCGATCCCCTAATATTATCAAAGAAGGCAAAGAAGATTCTTCACATGGTTCACTTAATCTACATCTGGTTCTGTGGCTGCTTCTCCACATGCTCCTTCAGTGTTGGAAGCCCAATTCCCACACTCTTTCTTGGCATGGTTTGAACTTAAACCAGTGTTTCTCAGTCTCAGACTTGTGGATTTCAATTCCCAGAATTCTGGCTGGGGAATTCTGGGAGTTGAAGTCCACAGGCTTCGAAGTCACTGAAATTGTGTCTCCGTGACTTAAACCAACACAAACATTCCCAAGTGAGCAAACACACAAGATACGACACACCCAAATCCGCTTTTTGTTGCTCCAGCTCAGAACTAAACAAGGCCAAGTCCTGGTTAGTCTTCAGAGAGGAGTTTAGCAGGAAGTGTGATGACAATAGGCTAAACTGGGAATCGAAAGAAGCTGTTTCATCCAGGAAAAAGGGGTTTTGAGCTTCAGCCAAGACCACAGCATGGAAGTTTCCATGAGGAGAGCTGGACTCAAAGCCGTTCCGGGCTGAGCAGATGTTTGCAGGGCAAGGACTGGTTGGGTTGATGCCAACGTGAGTTTGACGGAAGAACCACTGTACTACAAGGCACCTCTCGGAGCCCAGATTTAGCCTTTGCAACCTGACACGCTTGGGTGTGTTTGGACTCTGAGGCACCACAACCTGAAAGTTCCTGAATCAGACGGGTCAAAAACATCACAATGGTGTGATGCAGACACAACCAACAGAAAATGGTATGATGAAATGGGTGCAAAATTTCAAAGAAACAGTTAGTATACAATGGGAAGAATGGTGGATTAAATCTACCAAAATTACACCCGGTTACAGGTAGTCCTCAAGTTACGACTGTAATGGAGTCTACCCATTATGGTCATAAATTACAGGTAGTCTTCAACATACAACCACAATTGAGCCCAGAATTTATGTTGCTTGTGAGAAATTTGTTAAGTGAGTTTTGCCTCATTTTATGATTTTTCTTGCTACATTTGTTAAGTGAATCACTGGAGTTAAGTTATTAACCCAGTTGTTAAGTGAATCTGGCTTTCCCATTGACTTTGCTTGTTTCACAAAAGGGGATCGCATATATTGATCAAAATATATTAAATATATTTTTGGAGAAAGTGATAAAGAATCATAAAGAGAGAATAGTACTGTTTAAAGACAAAGAGGTGTATATAGAAGAACCTCAACAAACGGGGAAAAAATAAATAAATACAAATTGGGAAAATAGCATATATAAAAGAATACATAAATATATGTACCTAAAAGAATATATTATAATTATGAGCATATTAAGGTTAGACGTTGGAAGACAAAAACTATATATATGTAATTGTATTATTATTGTTAGCATTGTGTAAAAAATATACCGACCCAGTCATTACACTGTCCGCAAAATATATTGGTTGTTAAAGGAAAACTACAAATAAAACATATACAAAAAAGGGGGGGGATCACATGACCTTGGGACACAGCAATGGACATAAATAAATTCAGCACCTGAATTTTGATTACAGGATCATGGGAATGCTGCAAAGGTTGTAACTCTGAAAAAAAGGCCATGTCACTTTTTTCAGTGCCATTGTAACTGTGAACAGTCATTAAATGAACTGTTGTAAGTCGAGGACTACCTGTATAACATTTGTAAGACCAATTTTACTATGTTTTTTTCAGCGAATGTATCAGTCGTAAGTGGAAATGCTACAGCCGTTAAGCTAAAGCTGTGGTTAAGTGAACCCATTGTTTGCTATGCTGTATGCAGAAGTACCCGGTTTTCAGCAAAACCATCGTAAAATGCAGCCGTGTAACTGCAGGATACCGTAGATGTCATGTTGCCAAGTACCCAAATGTCCCATGACCATAGGGGCCCCTCCCCCCAACCCTCAGAACTTCGGTCATACGTCCCCTTTTTCAGCCAGGTCCTAATTCCAAATGGTTGGAAGTGGAGGACAACTGTATCTCCCAAAGGAAAGTGGTTACAAAGTGTTTTATGGATGTTGCACAATCCCATCAGTAATATCAAAGAGACACGAACTATGCAGTCACAAAATGCCTGAAATGTCGTGAAACAGAAGAAATGTTTTATCACATGTGGTGGGGGCATTAAAAAAAAAAACACCCAAAGACAGACAAAGGACAGTGCAGAAAATTTTGCAATTTAAATTTGAAATGCAGCCACAAACTACTAGGTATATTTTCATAAAGCATTAATGGCAAACATCATAATTTAATGAGATACGGGCTCACAGCAGCCAGAACAAATGCTGGTCGCCATTGGAAGAAAGACAACTCCAAAACATCACGATAGTCACCACAAATACCCACCAAAGTTCCACAGTACATACCGTATAAACAAGGCTTTGAAATCTGGGAATTCCCCTCCCCCAAACTCACCTGCGAAGGCTGATCTTCTTACACGTGGCGAGCAAACAAGCACAAGAAAGGCTGATGGATCAGAGCATCAATGCAGGCTTGTTGGGTTGATCGATTTAAGTGTCTCCAAGCGGGGGTCGACTCTTAGTGACTTAAAGATCACTTTTGTCCAAAATTGATGGTGAGTATATGAGTGTGTGTGCGCGCACACACATGCACAGTGTTGACTGTTTTCCCCCACAGAGGTCTCATGCAGGCTAAGCTTTGGAGTGGATAATATGAGGGATCTGTGCCAATTCAAAGCAATGTCTCACATTGAGGTGAATTCCTAATAAACTTGGAGAACAGGTCCATGGCGATTTTTTTTGGCAGCATATAGATGTGGTTGGTGATTATCTTTCTCCAAATTCCCAGTCTAGGCTACAACTTTGGCATCTTCTGATGATCTTCTGATGGTCTCCCATCCAAGTCTGATTAGCTTGACCACCTCTCCTGGAGGTCGCCAGTTCAAGTCTCTTAGTTTTTTTTCAGAATCATCAAAAGTCACCGGGAATAAGGAATGGGCTCTTCCAGGTTTAGAACTAAGGTATAGGCACTCTGCATAAAGCACATTCAGTTTGGCCCCTGGATCAAGCAGTACAGTTAATCCTCGACTTACGACTACAATTCAGCCCAACATTTATTTATTTATTTATTATTCGTATTTCTATGCCACCCACTCTCCAAGGACTCTGGGCGGCTTACACCAAAGATAGTATACTAAATAGCATATTGCCCCCAACAATCTGGGTCCTCATTTTAAGGATGGAAGGCTGAGTCAACCTTGAGCCGGTGAGATTTGATCCGCTGATCTACTGAACTAGCAGTCAGCTGAAGTAGCTGCAATACTGCACTCTAACCACTGCGCCACCTCGGCTAGATATGTTACTAAGTGGGATGTTAAGTGAGTTTTGCCCTATTTTATGACCTTTCTGGCCTCAGATGTTAAGTGAATCACTGCACTTGTTAAATTAATAATGGGTGTTAAGTGAACCTGGCTTCCCCATTGACTCTACTTATCAGGTCACAAAAGGGGATCACATGACCCCAGGACACTACAACCGTCATAAATATGAGTCAGTTGCCAAGCATCTGAATTTTGATCCACATGACTATGAGGGATGCTGTAACTGTCGGAAGTGTAAAAAATAGTCATAAGTCTCTGTGCTGTGGTAACTTTGAATGGTCACTAAATGAACTGTTGTATGTTGAGGATGTATCTGTCTGAGACCAATTGCAGCAACACGAACATCAAGGAAAATAATCAATTGCATTTAAACATATTAGTGTCTCAGCAGGAGGATGCCTTTTGCAGACACACTTTAGCCGTGCATGGATTCTTTCCCAAAAAATATGCCATGCACTTCAGAAGATAGCAACAGCAATACCAATTAGGCTTATATACCACTTCATAGTGCTTTACAGCCCCTCTCTAAGCAATTTGCAGAGTCAGCCTCTTGCCCCCAACAATCTGGGTCCTCATTTTACTGATCTTGGAAGGATGGAAGGCTGAGTCAACTTTGAACTGCTGTGGATCGAATGAATAGCAGTCCGCAGAATTAGCCTGCAATGAGAATCATGGGAGTTCAACTTTTTGTTACTCATGAGTTGACCACTGTGATTTCCGCCCCCCCTCAATTATGTTAATGCAAATCACGCACAGCACAATGGGAATGCTTATGCAATGTATATAGTCTAGTTGTGTTAGCCTGCAATGTTGTATTGCTTTAATTTTTTTTGCAACAGAGAAAAACCAATAGCTAACTGCAATAATTAATGTAATCAAGCAGATGAAGCTAAGAAAAATGCTAAAGCACAGAGGAAAAAAAGAATATGGAGAAAACATCCAGCCACAGCAACAAAAATAAATCTGGGTTGTTGCTTTAAGCAGAATCTCCATCTATTAACAGGCCTTCATTGATGTTCAGATGACATCGTGATGTGGAATTACAGTATTTTTCAAGTTTCCGAGATGTTCACTCCCTCAGGAACTCACGTTGCATATTATGCTAAAGGCACAAAGTTACCAGCTTCAACTTTAATTCAATTAACTGAACAGGTTAATTAGCCAGCTGCCTTGGATCTTAATTCCATTTTACCTAAGGTTTAAATCTGTGGCTGTTCAACTTGATTCCTTCTGGTGTTTTGGACTGATTAATGATGATTACTTGCCATCTAGTCATTGTCAACTCTTAGATGCCACATAGCACGAATGACCTGTCCCTATCTTGGCTCTTCAGATCTTCCAGGGCTGCACTAAAGGATCGTACAAGCAGTTCTTATGCCTCAAAATTTCCATTGTGAAGGGATTTTGCCCCATTTGATGGCTTTTCTTGACACAGTTGTTAAGTGAATCACTGCAGGGGTTAAGTTAGTAACATGGTTTTTAAGCGCTGAGCTTGCTTGTCAGGAGGTCATAAAAGGAGATCACGTGACCCTGGGACACTGCAGGTGTCATAAAGATGAGTCGGTTGCCAAGCAGCCAAATTTTGATCACATGACCATGGGGATGCTACAACTGTCATAAATGTGAAAAACGGCCATAAATCACTTTTTTTCAATGCCGTTGTAACTTTAAATGGTCACTAACCGTTTAAGTCAAAAAGTCCCTGTATCTCAGATTCTGACTCAAGGATTTGGGAGTTTTTGTTGTAAGACATTTCACCTTCTGCGGCCGGTAGGACAACTTTAATGCTGTTTTTTCATCTGACTGCCTCTTAATGGTGTCGAGGTCTTTGTGGATACCTGGAGTTGGAAAGTATTCTTTGAAAGAGCTTTTTAGCAGAGGCTGGCATCAAAGCCAGCCATTGTTCTGAGCAGGAAGATGGATATTTCCAGGTTTTGTTTTCAGACTGCATCTCGACCACGCCATCTCGTGGTCGAAAGAAGGATTACATGCGCATTTTCAGAGAGCATGCATACATTGCATAAACCACAGTTTGTTTTAATACGGTTTGTTGGATAAGCCACCATGGTGGAGTTGCACATCATGTTTTAACAACCATGGCAGCCTGAGTAATAAAATAAGGTGAAAGCAAACCGAAAATCTTGTGGCTTAGCACAATGTCCTTGAAATCTGGAGCTTTCCAATTAACTAATTCTAAAATCTGTTAGTCAGAAAAGGTGGTTCCAAATTCCCTCTGATGTTTGGCTCTCATAGACTAACACAGCTTTCCTACAATGTGCAGAATTGCTTAGTTTGCTGATCATTTTTTATACTTTTCCTTTCCTACCCAATTTGAAATACGTTGGGCATTTTCTTTTCTGATTTTAAAACCTCCTATGAAGAGACGAATCAATAAGCTCAATCAGAATTGATATCAGATCAGTTGGAAGTCTTGTTCTGAAATATGGCAGATCACCATTTTATTTTACTTTTTAAGATGTAAAAATAATCACCTGGGAGCAGCAGAAGAAGCAGCGTTCGGAGGCTTTTTTAATGGCTCTGGCCTATTTAGACACATGTTCTGAGTATACGAGGAGTCCTTGACTTATGACTGGTTGCTTAGTGACCATGTGAAGATACGGCAGGCTTCCCCAGGGCTACTTATGATGTGGATTCAAAGTTCCGATGGCTGCCCCCCTCTCCCCCCCAATGGCCACATGATCACATTTGGGGTTCTCTGCAACCATGCAGGAGGACATGGCTTTTCCCACCATCCAAGACAACCTTTGCTGATCTTTGGGAGGGGAAGCAAAGCCACTGAAGCACATTCCAGCATCGGAGGTCCAGGAGCTTCTGAAATAAAAATAAACTTGAATCGCTATTCAAATGAGATTGCCAGGCAGCCCTTAATAATTTCTAAAATTTATTTCAGTGGGATTTAAAAATGTTTTTCCATTACAATTAATACAAAGTCACAAAGGCTTGCAAGATTAAAGAACTTTTAAAAAGCATTCACAGCTAAAACCCTAAAGACAGTGCCAGTGCAGAAGAGAACTGCCACGGCCTCTTCTGGGGTCATTGAAGTCAATAGGAGGGAGTCAAAAAGGTCAAGATGGCTTTTGTGATTGTGTGATCAAAGCCTGACCCCTTTCAGTGGGCTTCTCCCCTCTTGGAGACCCCTGCCTGGCAAGTTTACCACAGATTGCTCTCCCTGGAAGCTCAAAGTTGGGCCAGTGCTGCCCCCTGCAGGAATGTCACCCATGTCACCCATTCATTAGAATGTCACACTAATTTTATCCCTGTAACATCGGATGGGCCAGAAAAGACTGGCCAATGTCACTTGCGGTCAATGGAGGCTGAATTTGGGTTTCCCTGGTCCCAATACAGCCCATTACTCAGCACCCCACTAGATTAGTGAATGGCACATTCACATCACATCTTGATAAAGATGAAGAGAAGAAAAATACAAAATCTAAAATCTAAAATATTATAAACATATGTCCAGATTGCAAATATAATTTTTTGCTTCATCTGTCACAGCTAGGAAATAATTAAAATCTCCATTATAGGCTCCCTTTTGGCACTATCACACTATATGTTGGGTAGTTTGCTTTTCAGTCCCACAGTCACAATTCGGTGATGATGTTTTGCCCCACTTACAGAGGGCATCTGCCCATCTGCATGCAAATTCGGTTCATTGTTGTCCACCTCAGACGGGGCTGATCAAATCCAGGTGTTTTTTTCCCCAAGATGCAAGACTAAGTTCGACATTGTGAGGGGCATGAGAGATAGTAGTCCGTAATATCTGTCCATTCAGTTGGCATGAACAAGTTCGTACTTTCATGAATATCCCTTTGCTTAGTTGAACCAGGGGTAGAGTTCTTCACGGACCTTCTAACAGTCCAGGCACTGACTGCTGTGCCCATGAACGTGGCCCAGATACTGGAATTGATCCTCTCCATACTTTTTCTGTTAAAATGTTTTCCCCTACTGCTTGCTTGGGGGGCAAGGGAGGGAAGGAAGGGCTGTCCTGTCTTCTGTGTGCTTCTGAGTACAATGTGTTGAGAGTTGTGGTTATATTAATTTCACTTCTGGATGTTGAAGGAGAAGATGCAGACTATTTATACAGGCAGGGAAAATCAGCCTTGGCAGTTTCTGATCAGTACTGTGAAATTGACTAAAGCTGATTGACTGAGTATGACACCCCTGGTGTCACTCACTCCCCATCTCCCCCAATGGGCACCTTAAGCAATGGTTGGAACTGGCAAGTTGTGTATCTTTTTATATATATATATATATTTGATTTATATGCCGCCTTTCTCCGGAGACTCAGGGCAGCTTACAATGCGTTAAGCAATAGCCTTCATACTTTTGTATATTTATACAAAGTCAGCTTATTGCCCCCACAAACTGGGTCCTCAATTTACCTACCTTAGAAAGGATGGAAGGCTGAGTCAACCTTGAGCCTGGTGAGATTCGAATGAATTCGAATGAATTACTGCTGGCCAATTGTTATATTTCCCAGTGGGCAACAAAGTTATCTCCTGCAGAGAGATGGGGTATTTCTCCTTTTCTGTCTCCTTTTCCTCCCTCTCCCTCTCCCTCTTCTTTCCTCCTCTATCTCCTTTCTCCTCCTTCTTCTCCTTTTCCTCCCCCTCCCTCTGCTTCTCCTACTTCTCCCTTTCCTCCTCACTCTTTCCTTCTCCTTCCTTCTCCTCCTCACTCTCCCCTCCTCTCTCCTTCTCCTTCCTTCTCCTATCCTCCTCCTCCCTCTCCTTCTCCCTCCACCCGTCCTCCTCCTTTTCCTTTTCCTCCTCCTCCTCCTCTTCCCCAAACAGCATCAGGGAAGCCCTGTTCTGAGGCAAGACACAAGAGATTGATGGTGTTGGGAGGTGCTTGGAGTTCTCAGAGATTCAGGGAATGAATAAGAGGGCTGACTAAGAGCTGATGCCAGGGTAGTATTGGAGCTGATTGGAATTGTTTGGCCAGCTCTAGGATAACAGCTTACCCTTGGAGAGGTTGAATAGAGGTTATTGAATAGGGCTCAGTGTTCAAGTCTATCAAGATCCTTCTAAAATGTTAGCAATTCCGCCAATTGGATTTTGTCTGCAAATTTCATGAGCTCCCCTTCTAGATCATTTATGAAGATGTTGAAGAGCACTGGGCCGAACTTTCGGTACACTTCATGCTTCCCTCCACGTGAATCCCATTCCATTGAAGAGCATGGATGTAATGTATGTCCTCCCACCCATTGCCCTCTAGAGATATTTGAGTCCAACTCCTATTTCTCAGCCAAGATGGCACTTGGGGAAGGCTGAGTTACACTTGTTGCTGACTCTCGTCATCATTACACTTTGGGGAACTGATCTCAGAGTCAGAATGTGAAGGACAGTGTAAGGCCTTGGGGGGAAAGGGCTGTTCCATCAGGCAGGGGAGCTGGTTGAGAAATGCCCACTCTTCAATTCGGTCTTTAGGAACAGAGACGGGTGTGCTTTCATCTCAGCAGAAATAGCTGGTCCCCATGTTGCTATTTTTAACACACAGGGAAAATATGCATGTGGGTTGTGGGATGACAAGTGTGTGATTCCTTGAATTTGCAGAGCTAAATGAGCCAGCTTGCATGCACACACACACACACACACACACACACACACACACAAAACATACACATGCCTTACAGTGAAATTCTCCAGCACAGCACATTTCTCTTGTCTCGGCTACAGCCAGCATGTTTTTTTCTTGGGTGGGTGAACTCAATTCCTTACATATTTGACATTTTAATTGTAGTGGAAATGCAGAACTAGAGAAGATGGGCAAATGTTTTTTGCAGTCAACAACGTTGCTTGTGTCCAGCAGCTCACAGTTCAGAGGGAGAGCTCTCTGTCATTCACTTCAAATTTACTGCCAGAAACATTTTTTGATCCCCAGAAACCCTGCCTTGTCCCTTCTTATGGAGAACCTCCAGAGACAGGAAGGAGAGAGAGAAAGAGGAAAGGGCACTGTCCCTTTAAGAAAGAGGAAGCAAAAAAGGCAGAAAGCGAGGCGGAGGACATACCATATATTACACTTCTATATAGGAGGTGAGAGAAATACGGAGAGTGAAAAGAATTGGGAGGAAACTTGGGATGAAGGGAGAAAATGGGGGAGAAGGAAAACTGGGGTGGGGAAGAAGCAGAGGATGTCTAGCAGCATCACAATTTATTCCAAGGATGTTAAAATATATCATTTTTTTCTATCAGTTGCAATATATCTCTATTTCTCTATCTCTCTCTATCTCTCTATGATCCATCCATATCTATCTATCTATCTATCTATCTATCTATCTATCCATCCATCTATCCATCTCTTCTGTATCATCTATCTCTGTCTCTCTGTTTCTCTCTCTTTATCCCTCTATTCTATCTTCTATTCTATTTTAACATCTATTTATCTAGATCCAGCTATTTATCTTCTACTCTATCTACCTCTATCCTGTCTGTCTGTCTGTCTGTCTTCATCATCATCCATCCAGATATCATCTGTCTGTCTGTCTGTATCTGTCTATTTATCTATTTAGCTGTCTATCATCTATCTTCTATCTAATCTATCTCTAATATAGGATATAAACAAAATGAGCAGAGAAAAAGGAAAAGAGAAGAAAAAAATTGAATAGATGCATAATGAAACCCAATGCTCCATTCCTAAAGTGCAATTTAAACCTTGACCATATATTGATCTGACTTCCCACAATTAACAATAAAAACTCACTTCCGAAATTGATAACCACAGACAACAGATTTAATCTTGCCCCAAAGGCCAAGAAATTCAGGTTTATTATCCTTGGTGTGCTTTAATGCTCTCCCTAGGACAAGGTTGGAAAGAAGTCCAGAAAAGCTCCTTTGCCAGGTGATGGACCCCTTGGGAGGCAGGTGGGATAAGAATGCAGCTCATGTTTTGTTTACCTACCAGTTTGACAGATCATTTGCAGTTGATCTCCCTTCTCCTCTCTAAATTTCCAGGGATTTGGACTTTTCCCTGGACAATTCTGCATCCATAAACGTTTTGTTATAAAGTGTGTAAACTCTGCAACTGCTAATGGTTATTATTATTATTATTATTTTTTTTTTTTCTTCTTCTTCTTCTTCTTCTTCTTCTTCTTCTTCTTCTTCTTCTTCCTCTTCCTCTTCCTCCTCCTCCTTCTTCTCCTTCTTCTCCTTCTTCTCCTTCTCCCAATGTTTGTCATACTTTAATAAATTCAAAATTTTGGGTATATAACAACATGTTTTTCTTTAAAATTACTTCTTGTCCCAGTTCCATTCTGAAAATCTTACAATATGTGTTTTTTTTTGTTTATTCCATTTCTACAGCAGCCCAACTCAACCAAGTGACTCTAAAACACTGTATCTACAGCCGGGGTCCCCAGCCCCCGGGCCACAGACTGGTACCAGTTTACAGTCCATTAGGAACTGGGCCACACAAGGGAGCAAAGCTTCATCTGAGCATACATGGGATCTCTGTAGCATACAACCCCACCCATCCCCCACCCCGGTCCATGGAAAAATTGTTTTCCACAAAACCGGTCCCTCGTTCCCAAAAGATTGGGGGAGATCTACAAAACAAGTTCAAAATAATGACAATGTTTATTTCCTTCTGTTACATTCCCTGTGTACATAAGAAGAAACCCAACCCATGTTTTATGTTCTCCAGTGTTCAATAAATGGAAAAACTCAATTCATTGTATCTTAAGATCATAGGATACAATGAATTGATTTTTTTATTTAAAAATTTAGCACACTGATTTATTGAAACACAGTATCTACTTCTTTGTTTTAAGTTTCTTGCAGGTTTCTTGCTTAATATTTTCCATTCTACATCAAAACTAAGAGTAGATTTGGGAACCTCCAAAACTTCTTCAAATAATAATATACCATAGGCCAGCTCTGGACATCTCTAGGCATTGTGTCCAGGGAAACAGGAGTTGTTCCAGGCAGATATGTCTGGGAAAGCCTCGCTCTGTGTAGAGGTAGTCCTCGACCTATGACCTCCGTTGAGCTCAAATTTTTTGTTGCTGAGACATTTGTTAAGTGAGTTTTGCCCCATTTCACAAACTTTTCTTGCCACAGTTGTTAAGTGAATCACTGCAGGTGATACTGTAAGTCGGTTACCTGGATGTTAAGTGAATCTGGCTTCCCCATTGACTTTGCTTGTCAGAAGGTCACAAAAGAGGATCACGTGACCAGGGGGTCACTGCAACGGTCATAAATGTGAGTCAGTTGTCAAGTTTCTTAATAGTTTTTAACTTCTATATGTATTTGTATTTATTATGGCTGTTCACCGCCCTGAGTCCTTCGGGAGTAGGGCGGTATACAAATATGAAAAATAAATAAATAATAAATAAATAAGTGCCTGAATTTTGATCACATGACCATGGGACTGTTGCAACGGTTGTAAATGTGAAAAATGGTCATGTCACTTTTTTCAGTGATGTTGTCACTAAATGAACTGTTGTAAGTCGAGGACTACCTGTAGTCAGTTCCACTTCAGTTTCTCAAATTCCTGACAAACGTAAACAGAAAGGGGCCAAATCAACCAGCAGCTCCCCTTAATTTGTTTCTACTTTTCCAGTGAGTTTTATGTGGCTGAGAAGAAAAAACAAGTCATCTATTTTTTTTCTCCAGCAACGGAAGCATTTTTCAGAAAGGGAATTATTTGACAGAAGAAGATTTTTGTCTGGCTTCTTATGCAAAGTTGCTGCTAGGAAATTTCTGCATTCGTAATGTAACCAAGATGAACCGAAAGACAGAGAATACTGTATGTGCTTGATAACATGGTTCTTCCCTAATTGAGAAATTTAACATTTTTTAAAATTGGAATAGTTCTGCATATATATTTTATTGAATACCTTTTGACAAATTATTTCTTTTTTCCCCTTTTGCCAAAATCATATCACTGGAGGCAAAAGAGGGAGCTCCTTTTGCATTTT